CCTATGCATATAATATGGGCAGGATCTATTAAAATTCTATTTTGGTTTGACATTTGTTAGGGTTATGTAGGTACCCTAAACACTACAACACCCAAATGAAGAATCATACAATATAAACCCACATTTCTCCTTTGTACTTGTGTTGCAATGCTTCATACAATACATAGAGGATGGAATTTGCATTGCCATATAAAGCACATTTCGACACTCCCTCCCATCAATCTCATCCATGTAGTTGCCTATGAGTCATACAATTTAAGGACACGAATATAATTTTGAGTTATAGACAAAAAAAGTTTGAGACTTGTCATTTAGAATGAACTATGGATTTATCAAGCATACCTTCATTATTGAAAAGTTAAAGCTATATTATGCTTTTTTATCTATTGAAGTATAATTTGTTCCCTCTCTTTGTATCATATGGTTATTATATCACAGATACAACAGATGCATATGTCTATGCAATCATAGATATGATATTTTATCTATAGAAATACAGAGATATGTTGGAATGAAAAAAGTGTTTATATATTGCATGTGATTACTATATTACAATATTACTATGAGACTTTCTGTAAACAAGAAAATAAAATTAGACATAATTTCACCCTTAATATAAGGCTTGCAAAAGTTAAAGGAAGTGTTTACTGTTGAATTGACTACCCTTTCTTAATTACATTTATTGTATTCCCTTTCTCAAGTGGCTGAGAAAAAAAAATATTTGTCTCTTGTTCCATCATGGCAGCTACAATAGTAGCAAATTCACTGGGAAATATTGCTTTCCTCCTATTTCATGCTGGGGGCAGCAAAGAGAAAGTTGACCTCTTTCTCTCCTCACACCTGATGCCCAGAATGCTGCTGTGACAATTTTCCAGAACTCCTGGCTCACATTATAATTCATAATGATTATATGAATTAAAGGTGTCTTGGGAAGCTAACATTTTCCAGGGCTTCTGGCTCACACTGGTGTAGAAAGAGAGATACTCAGTCTGCTTTCTGCCTTGCTGCCCCCAACACTGAATAGCTAGCACATGATGGAAAGCTGGAATTCATTGAATTATATTAAAACTGGGCTGAAAGCATCAAATATTTCTACATGGAATAAATATGATATTTATTCCGTGTAGAAGGTAAGAATATGTACCAATATTTGTATTTTGAAACAAGAAATTATGAAATTCGGTGCCATCAACAGATATGATGAAATAATTATTTCACCACTTTTGCTATGGGAACAAAGGAAGCTGCTTTGCTGTACGACAATATTATTGTCATGCACTATCAGATTCTCTCCAGGGGTTCAGGCTGGAATTTATTTCAGCCCTATTTAGAGACAGAATCTGGGACTTTATGTAAACCAAGCATATGCTCTATCACTGAACTTGATGGCTCATTATTATTGTTCATTGTTCCTTTTAACAATCAAACAAATGATAGAAACATAACAAACCCTTTTCCCGTACTTTTTATTTATCTTATGGCCTGGTTCCTCTAAACATTTAACATTACTAACAAATGGTTAGTTAAGAGTTGTTTGCTATATAGCAGTGTCATGAAATCTACAAGCGATGCAACATTGTAAAGATTGGACAGTGTCTTATGATGATTTTTGACCATGAATGTGAAACTGTGGTTTGGTGAGCTGCTCCAATGTTTGTAAATTTACAGAATAAAGATTTTCTTTCACAGAACAAAATGTTCTGCTTAAACACATCTATAGCTAGGAAGTTTGGCAAATCAACTGTGTTGCCAAATAAGGCTTTCAACAAAAATAGTGTGTGTCAATAAGGATTAAGATAGTCCCTAATCCCTATAAAACAGAGATGGAAAAGCTTCAAAATTACGGAATCTAATCTGTGTTTTTTATTGGATTTAATAAATCAACCAATGTCTGCTAGAAAATGTGAGAAAAGGACATAGATATGGATTCAAAATGCTAGTTATACAACATGTGGTATCCAGAAGCCATTGGGTTGATTGATTTGCACATGCAAAATTAGTTGATAATGAGTTGATAATTATCAGGGCTGGATGAAGATCTACTTCATGCATGAGAAAGTTTTTTGTGCATTTTAGAATGAAATCAGTGTTGAATCCTTTATCACATTAAAAAGAGACAAATCAATTATAACATGTGTTAATTTTATTTTATTTTATTTTAAATGTATATGCCAACCAACTTCCAATGATTGAGGTATTGCTTAAGGATCAATGGATATATTTCCACTTGTCGCTGTAATAGATTTATTTGTCCTTAAGGTGCTGCAACAAGATCTTTTAAACTACATTGCTTATAGTCTACATTTGCTTTATAGTTAGATGTGACAACTAACAATATAATAATTCAGAGTACCTTGACATAAGGGTCAGTCATATTTAGGTTTATTTATTTCTTTTTTCTGAATAATTCAAGAGAGATTAGAATTTTAATGACATTCTCATGGATAGAGTGAGGTGTTTTTCCATTTACTTAAGAGGTGGCCATGGAGTATTTCTTTTCTTTTACTTTACTATCATCTTTCTAGCAGTGTGAAGCCTTCTAAGTATCCAGTCTTAGTAAATGCCAAGGGACGTCACCAAGGGGGAAGTCTTTATGTGTGACTTTATTACATTGCATTTCAGAGTAATAGAAAGGTAGTAACAGAAAACAACAATAGGAACTCAACTTTACACTATTTTCAACAATTAACACAAACACCACCAAAGAAAAATTCCAACTGATATGGAAATGGTTTGCTATCTGAATAAATTCTTATGCAATTGGGAAGAAAAATAGGAGTAACTGTCATAAGAATTTTTTAAAAATAGTTAGAGGCAAAGTTATCTATCCTGACCTTGGTCTGAACATGAGTTGTTGTTCTACCCTGGTGCCTGGAGACTGTTATGGTCTGGATAGGGAAGAACAGGGCCAGATTTAATGCTGGTAAGATGGAACAATTCTGCAGAGAGAAACCTCATGATTATAGGCATAGTCCATCTTTGATTCTAGACGAGTCACATTTCCTGATGTAGTATTGGTTAGCAACTTTGGCCAATGGGCAGGGGTGAAATTTACTTACCTTCCCTACTGGTTCGCCAATGTGTGCATGCTGTGTGTTGCGCGCTCTGCTCATGCACACCATCTGTGCATGTGCAAAGCCTTCTGCACATGCGCAGAGGCTTAAAATGTCACAAAAAAGGCGATGTCATGACGTCCATGCAGATGGGCAGAGCCTCCCGCAGCCGCCACTACCGGTTTGCCCGAGCCGGCTGGATTTCACCCCTGTCAAGGGGACGTTACATATTTGCACCTCAGAGATCCTGCTTATAATCATTGTTGCCTCATTCACTTCCTATTTGATTTCTGCAATTCATTCTACTTGAGGTTGCTCTGAAGGCTCCTTGGCTGCTGCAACTGATCATGAAGGTAGCAATTGAATGGTGATGGCAATATTGAAGTTTTCCAATGTAATTTGAGAACTACACTGCTTACCGGGGTGTTTCCAAATATAATTCCAGAGGTTAGTTGGCCACTACCCCTATATAAACATAAGCTCTTCTCTACAACTCCCCAATCCTAGAAATAAAACGGGCCTAATATTCAACTAATGTCCTTATTTATGTTAGGCTTCAGGCTTTTGGAAGGCAAATATGTTGAAAGTCAAAGCAGACATGTGAAAGCAGACACAAAGACAATTTCTGTGGATGAGATAGGATCAGCCTAGACCCATGATGGCGAACCTATGGCACGTGTGCCACAGGTGGCATGCAGAGCCATATCTGTGGGCACACGAGTGTTACCCTAGCTCAGCTCCAGCACGCATGCTGTGCCGGCCAGCTGATTTTTGGGCCTTCTGGGCCCACCAGAAGTTGGGAAATGGCCATTTCTGGCCACCGGGAGGGTGGGGGAGGGCGTTTTCACCCTCCCCAGGCTCGAAGAAAGCCTCTGGAGCCTGGGGAGGGTGAAAAATGGGTCTACCGGGCTCACTGGTAACTTTTTTGCTGTTGCGTGCCAAAAGCGGAGGAAGCACGGGTGTGTGTGTGTCACATGCGCATGTGTGGGGGCATTGAATTATGGGTGTGGGAACGCACGAGCGGGACACCACCACCCCGCACTCCCCCCGCTTTTGGCATGCAACAGCAAAAAGGTTAGCCATTACTGGCCTAGACTAATATTTTAACCACTGAATGCTGACTAACATCTTACTGCATTGGGAAGAGTAGAACTAGCATGTTCGTGGAAAGACTTGAAATAATTATCTGCTCCCAATTTTATATCCCATATTGCTTTTAGAATCAACTTTTATCATAGTACTGGTAGCTGTGAATTGCTACTATGCAAGATATTTTATTTGAAGGGAGGGAGAGATAAATCTCGACACCACCAGAAAAGTACAGGTAAGTTTTTCATGCAATTATACTGCACTTCAACCTTCTGCCCAATCTGAAGTTTTAAGCAAATAAAGTACAGTCTCATTTGGACACATAGATGTGCTAGAATACTAACATCTTTGCCTCTTGATTGAAGGATTTCATTTTTTTCATAGAAAGCTATTGTTTGTACTGTAGAAGAACAAGAAAATATATCATTAAATATACCGCCTAAAATTCTCTTTGTGGGTGGTCCCTTCTTCCTTTGTGACTCTGTAATTTTTACATTAAGTTGTACTGGCAAGTTCTTCCTCCTGATGTCTTTTTTTTTTTCAATTTTAAAAAAAGGTTTTGTTCAGATTCCATTCAATTCAAAATATTATTACCATTGCAAACAAGGAAAATGTGTTTATCAGAAGCTGCAAACTCCTTTAGGGCCTCAAAGGATTAATCACGGTTATAAAGTTTTATTAAACAGAATTTTTGTTTAATGACGAGCTCCACCAGTCCTTCCCATTCCAAACCAATCCTGTCCTAAGGGTGTATCTAGTATAGCAGATTGTTTTCAACAGTCTCTCAAGACAATCCCCATTACTTTGTCATGCACAGAGATATTTTTCTTCCTGGATAATTTGAACTTAAAAATCACATCTGTTTCATACTTTATTTATTTGTAATTTAAATCCTTAAATTGAATCTTTCATTACTAACATCTGGGCTTGAAATGCAGCCCACTTGAAAAAAAAATACAAATTTTATTTTATTTGTCATCAGATTCTTCCCTTTCACTTGGTAGCATTGGTACACACATTCCTTGGCCAGAGGGAAAACAGTCGGGTATCTTAAAGCTGTGATGTCGAATCACGTGTATTATGGCTCACTTGAACATCCCTGAAGTGACTGGCAATTTGCCCAGAATTAGACTGAATGCAAGTAATAAGCTGTAGAAATTCCACAATATTGACAATTAGATATCTCTATACAGCAGCAGCTGTGTATTGTTCTCATGGTATATTCCTCCCGAAGTATCTCCTAGAAAAAGGGGATTAAAAAAAAAGAAGAAAGAAAGAAATCCTGGCAGAAGGTTGTAGGCAACAGAAAGGTAATATACATTGTAGAGAATATCGCAAATTCAGATTAATAGGGATGTTTCTATTACTGCTGTTTTCTATAGTGGCAACCATGGCCGAAGAAAATGCCAGGGAATTATGCATTTATAACAGCACATCTGTACAGGGTAATTATTATATTTTTAGCATTTTCAGGGGAAGATACCTAGCTCCGATTTCCATTAATGTGGAAGTTAGAAATTTTTATCTAGAATGCCTTCAAATGCTCATCTGTTAAAGATGATTTTCCATGCTTTCTGAAATTGGTTTGTAAAATGTTAGAAATCCTTAGCTCCTTTTATAAGTATAGGTCTGAGAAATAAAAGTGAGAAATGTTCAGTTTTTCACCTGTTCTTAAAGTAACCCAGCTTGTGTAAATGAATTTTAAAAGCTGCCATTTATTCAGTCCCTTTGGTTTAAAGCTTTTTCCCATCTCCTTCCACTGAAAAGGAATTAATTGAGCTTATATTTTGCTCACAAAGCACAGCAGCCCACAGTGAAAACATTCTAATACTATTTTTTAAAATAACGTTTACTCAAGTTTGTGTTATGAACTAGTAGGCTATGATGCTCAGCTCAGTGAATATAAAGGAGATACTTATTTGTCTAATATCCAGTGTGTCAAAGTTTGGTTCCTTTCATCTATTTATATTATATGAGAAATGATAATTTTATTATCAAGTAGGCTGCAATTTTTTTCTGCAGTTAGCATAAAGCGGAGACAACAATGAGATGTCAAGTTTTATATTGCAGATGCTAATTTATCAAGCTAATTACTAACAAAATGCAGCTAAAATGCTGATAATCATGAGACTGATTAATTCAGCAACACAGATATTGGTGAGTATTTAAAGGTTATGAATAGCCATATGGATTCCTTGTCTCTTTCTGTATTTGCTATGCCATTAATACACTCTCTATTGTGCAGTCTGTGCAAATTTTTTACAAATGGTATAATGGTAAGCCATGTGTTTGAGAAATAATTGGAGTCAGAGAGGTTGTTGCTACACATCAATGAAGAGAATGCTACTTTTAGAGACAAGTCATTATATCAAACATTGAAAGAAATGTTTGAAAATGTTGTAAATATTATCCTACCAATCTTTTCCCCTTCCTGCTCCAGCAGTAAACATTTTCCAGTTCAATTTAAGACTTATTTCCACATTCCCACTTTTTGCAATTATCCGAATGGTTATAGACATACAATCATCCAGCATCATTCATGCAATTTTATTGAGCATTCAGATATTGCTCTTTTCGATTTATAATTCTCTCAGATTCCTCTATCACTTCTTTTACCTCCTCCTGCAAACAGCCTGTATCCAGCAACACTGAAAAGAACCGTTGTAGTTCAGGATATGCTTAGAATGGGAATTTACCACTGATATCTTTGCTTACTATCTTTTTGTTATTTTAACTGCAAAAGCCTTATTCAAAGAGCTAAAATGGTACTTTAAATCCATTTTTCTTTGAATGAAGGAAAATAATAAATTATGGAATGTCTAATGGTACAATCATTGCACTGTGCAGATTTTTATTTCCCTAAAAGAGCTAAAAATCCCCCATCTACATTGCTGAGGGAAAAAATTGTTATATTCTAGGAGAATATAGGCAGTCATCGTCTTCTCTATATGCCTTTCTGTGTAAGCTTGTGCTCAGCTAGAATTGTATTCTGCTTCAGAGATGAAAACTCAGGGAAAATCTGTCACTTCTGATCAAGTGTGGGACACAGGGAACAAGGAAGAAAAGACCAGTTTCTGTGCGTTTTTCAACTCAAATTGCACCATTGTCCCGTGGAAGTGAGGCTGCTGAGTCAGTCCTAATGAGGCCAGATCATGATGTGTTATTTCTCTGAACTAAAGACAAGGCTCAGATTGTATGAAATTGCATCACTAGGGTCCTTGTATTGCCAGCAACATAATAGTGAGGTCCCCACAGTGCCGAATGTACTCCAATAAAAGAGGTTAAAAAGCCAGGACATTAATTGACTCTGGTGCCAAGTCCCTTTTGTAACCTGTGTTATCAGCAGAAGTACAAGTGGGGCATGCTAAAGAATATCATTATGAAACAGATTTCCTGCGAGAGAAATTCAGCAGCCCAGGTAACTCTCCTGGTTGTAATGAACAGGCTGCCCTGTTTATGAACTCAGCTATAGATGTTGTTCCTTTCATCTTTCTCTGGGCTGTAAAGGAAAGGGAGCAGGGGGGGGCATCTCTTTATGGAGAGCAGGAATATTTCTATGCAGGCTCTCCAAGGGTTAATGTGCAGTTTACTATTGAATAACACAAAATGAGCTGTAAATAATGTAATGATATGTATTGTTAAACGACATATACTGTACCAGGTGCAAGTACTCCCACTCCTCACTTAGATATAATCTGGGGCAGTCAACAATCACAGATGTATTTTAACAAAGAAAGAGAGAAACAAGAGAGAAAAGGAAGAGACTGACTGACAGACAGACAGAGAAGAAAAGGAGGAAGAGGAAGAGAATGGTAGGAAATGAACAAGAGAGGAAAAATAAGAAAAATAAGTAAGGCAATTTAATTAAGGCAAAGGAACAGGTAAAGCTTGGCCTGTTTTCTGCACAATACCTCCAGCTATGCTTCAGGAAAAAATTAACAGCATTTGACTTGTTTTTGGAACACGCATGAGCCAAACACGTGTGAAATACCTTGACAGGCCTTTTGTATAACCACAAGAAAACTGATAATCCTAAATCAATTACATAGGGAAAAATATGAATCTTTGAATACTGGTAATTATAATGGTTATCTTTCACCATTGTAGCACCTGCAAATGATGCATTTATCGTATATATAACAATGATTCAAAAAGCCCCTAATTAACTGTTTATTTTCCCCCCCTTGTTTGCTGGCTGTAAGCAGTGTACATTAATTGACAATTTATACATCTATTTTCCCCCACAAAATATTTTCCATTACCTTAAAGTGCCTGAAAATCACACACCACTGAATATCCATCCTTCCTTCCTTCCTTCCTTCCTTCCTTCCTTCCTTCCTTCCTTCCTTCCTTCCTTCCTTCCTCATCTGAGAGTTTTTTTTTTTTTTAAATGAATTTAGTAGATGGCAAAAAAGGGGTGGAAAATTCTGGGCTGATCCTACCTAGAAGAGTAAACCACAGTCTTTTCTGTAATTCACTGACATGGCTCTTTCCTAATTGTGCCAGTCAGAATTCCTACCTAACCTGACCAAATATGAAAACAGCAATTCTGGGAGATCTCCAGTCATGGCTTCTAATACTAACAGATTACTCTAGGCTATTCATGGACCAAGATTAGCCTGAACCCCACTGAAAAAAAAATCTTTTGTTCTGCACTGTAAGCTAGGTAGAATGAAACAAATGCAAGGAAAGCTGTATTAGCCTAGTTCGTACAAAAATGGGATTGGTGATTATACAGTTATTGTTCAGGAGAAGGCAAATTTATCAGGTTCTAGACGGAGGCTGAAGAAAATAACGCTTTGTTTTGTTGTTTCTGACAGACATTTCTGGGATTTTTAATGTAGATAGAAGTAAGAAATGGCTTTAAATGTTTGCAATATCCAATATACATAAGTATAAATTTATTTATTTATTTATTTATTTATTTATTTATTTATTTATTTATTTATTTATTTATTTATTTATTTATTTATTTATTATTTCCAGCCTCTGAATCCATCAATTAGGGATTCTAAACAGAATTATCTCCATTTTTTAAAAAAGTGCAGTTGTTGTGTGGCTGTTCCAAAGGCAGTGAGACAGAACCGGCAGCATTCCTGTGTTTGGAATGAAGGCACAACAGCACCAGACACAACGACACAAATGCAAGATGGCTGAGGCCACCATCTGCAGGACATCAAAGTCTGCTGCCTGATGGCAAATGGGCTGCCAAAGCTTCTAAAGGCTTTGGCGCTGGACTGTCAATCGGATGCAAACTGTCCATCTGCTGCATGGCACAAGTGACAGCTGAATCTTTTGCGGTCCGTAAGATGAACTGGACCCCAAGCCAATTCATCCCTGTTCCTAATCACACAAGGTTTGTTCAACCAATATCATTAGCCAGATACACGAGATACAGTATGTGGCTTTTCATTTTGCCTGGTACGTGACGTGATAAAAACCAGCACTGGGGGTGGGCTGTGAAACCAAAAGGGACATGCTGCTGTTACTGCTGAGAAAGCATATTGGCAATGTTTAAAACATATTGGGGGCATAGCAATAGTCTAAAACCCCCAATATGGATTAGGACAACTGACCAGATGTCTTGAGTGACATTTTTTAATGAGTTTCAAGTGTGTCCCCATAGTGCATAAATGCAAACTATACATCTGTATGCTTTTTGCCCACTTGATAAAGGGTATGCAGATACTTGAATCTAGCTGATCATTACAATATACAATCAGAAAAGAATGTAATGTTCAATTTGTACCTTTCTTCAAAATGAGATAGACTTGTTCCATGCAAGTTCTGTATTTGTCAAAGCAGATCCAGTAAATCAAATTACATAGTTAAGGAATACTTATGGCTTTCATAGTGCAGAATGAAAGTATAAATACCTTCTGAGATAACCTCCTGAAGTTCTAAAAGACATATGACATCATAAGAGAGTATGTACTCTCTCTCTCTCTCTCTCTGTATATGTCTGTCTGTCTGTATGTATGTATAAGGATATGTATAAAAAGAAATAATCTGGTGTTTAAATATTTCTTCTGATGTAAAGAAAATCCTCAAGACAAAAGCAGTTCTAGAAATATGCATGCTTCTGCCTGAATTCCTGAATTAGAAAACTCATTACTTAAACGCATATTATTTATATTTTCCACTGCTAGCAAGAGATGTATTATTTGTATAAGTAATTTCTAATTTTATGTTTTACAGTTCTACTTCTTATGAAGCAGCTTCATTTGGAAGAAAATAAATATTTGTTTATTTCTCTACTCAAAGTAACTTTTATTTTCTAGAATCTGGTACTCTCTGAACTCTGTTGTTTGTTTGCAGATATTTCATTACCTAACTAAGTAACACTATCGATGTTAGAGAGTGTGGGGGTTTATTTCCTGTTTATATAAATAACTTGACAGTTTTGGTGGGGGTATAATTTTCTCCTTGGTAGTTTCTTGATTAAAGTATTGTTTTTTCTTTGATTGTTTGTCTGGTATTAATCCCTACTTATCTAGGTGTAGGCTGCTAGAAGGAATGTGTTCTGATCTTTTTTGTTTGCTTCTTAGCTTTTTCTTATCTCTTTGGTGTGTGAATATAGTTTATTCTTATATGTCTATTGCTGCTTTTGTTTTCTTTTGGACTGTAGTATGATTGTCTGCTTTTTCTTGTGTTTCGGTGGCAAGTTGTGAAGTTTTAAATGTTGCTTCTAAGGCATCACTATAGTACACAAACTAACTAAAGCCCTCCAAGTAAACCAAAAGACCCAATATACCAAAAGACACAATAGACCAAGAAGAAGAAAAAATAAGAGTCATCAGTGTAAGGACTATAATGTCCACAATGTAGGACAGATAGGCAGATGATAGTAACTAGCTGTCAGAAGACACAATGAAAACTCCATAATCTCACAACACATGGACAAACTTAACCAAACTGGAAAACTATGACTATCCTTAGACAAAGCTAAATCCAAACCACTAATTTTGCTAAGAAATTCCTGGAAGCCTGGTATTTAGACAATAGAAAAAACACATATATACACACCATTCGAAGGAGACAATAAAAAAACTAGGAAGGAAACAAAAAGATAAGAACACATCCTCTTCAGGAGCTAATATCCAGACACCTAGACAAACAATCAGGCAGAAAACAATACCTTACTCAAGTAGAAAACCATAACTCCACCAAATCTGGCTATTGTATATAAACAATGATCAAACTCCACATTCATTTGCACTGAATGAAAGGTTGTTACATGGTTAGTTATGAAATACCTGGAAGCAAATAACCAATCTCAGAGAGAAGCAAAAATGCCATTCTTCAACCCTGAGCTACATACAGTATATTCTCTTCCATTGAAATTGTTGTCCTGACCTTTCTTACTCAGGAATTAGCTTTGCGTAATAGTAAACAAATAGTTTATATGTTAAAAAAAATAATGTAAATAATCAATACATAGAACTAGAACAGCACTTGTATTCATTCACTCTGAAATACTTCGGATTTTTCCCTCCAAAGAATTTTTGATAAAATCTAAGTTTGTGTTGCATTCCTTCCTTTCTTGACAAATGTGTAAATATATGCCTAAAATTGTTATAAGGGCTTACTTTGATGCACTTGTTTCCTTTATTTGTTTAATCCCACCCACTTTTTGTCAGTTTGACTATACACAAAAAAATAGTATGTTGCCTCGGTCAGTTGTTGCCACAATACCAATTTTACATTTGTTCTTAGCAACAATTTCATCCAGCAAACAAATATGCATTTCCATTGATGTTGATTTGCTGGTTGGATACATTCTATGAATGTTTATGGAAAGAGATTTCTTGTTTAACAAATTGATATAAAGTTTATGCTGTACTATGATAAACATTCTCCAGAACACAAGTTTAGATTTGAAATGCCCATAAACAGATGTTTAACATTGCAATCCTACACGTGCCTATTTAGGAACACGACACATTGAATAAATAAAATTTACTCTCATTAAATGTAAATTAGAAAATGTGAACAGAATTATGGTAGAATGGCATTTTAGATGGGTTCAGCTATTTATGTTGCAAAATTCCAAATGACCACAAGATGACAGCAAAACATTTGAGTTTTCTGTTTTTCTTTGCTATCATCTAATGGCTGACCACATTTTTGCAACCCAGAAATGAAAGCCATAATTAATTAGAATTGTGCTTGTACATATGTAAATGGAATCATGAGATGTGAGGTCTTCAGGTAAATTAAACAAAAAGTCTATAATTCTCTTATTGGTTTTGTGATGCTAACAAAACCACAAGGATACTTTGGTTCAGAGGTTTTCTTTGGGGTTTTCTAATCCTTAGGTCTTTTCATATCATTTACATGATAAAACGTTTTCTATATAAATATCATATCAGAATTCTGAAATTCATGTATCTTAAAGTTAGCAAGGTGACGAAGCAATAATACATATTACTGTGATCCTTGTTTATTAATATATCTACTTAACAAATTATTCTCTCTTTTATGATGAAAGGACTAAATTTAGTTGATTGAGTTACTGTTTTACTCATATATTACACACATAAAATGCATCATTTTTAAAAACAAGACTTTAAAAAATATCCATTATCTTACAGGTGTCGCAAATCAGCAGGTGTCGCAAATCAACAATATCAGAAACTGAAAAATCAAGTAAATCTCCAGCTTATTGTGACAGGCCACATATATGTGGCTCAGAATCCAGATTTCTACAAGGATAAATTTCCTCCTAGTGTACTTTACAGGCTAATGTTTAAAAATAATAATAAATAGTTATTTCAAAGCCTTGGGTTTTGTACAAAGCTCACATTCCATATTATTTCCTGAAAAACAATTATTGATGGGCATGAAATTATCAACCAAGATTTTTTGCCGTCCAATCACTTTATCGACTTTTAAAAATACCTATCAGTTCATTTAGTCTAGCCTTGTTGTAGAATCACCAACAGAGGAGATTTTTATCAATTAGGATAATGATTAATCAACATGAAAAATCTAAAATTTAATGCAATCCAAACCAAGAAATAGTAAGTATATGATTCAATACATCTGAAGAGTATCAATTAAAATCCCTGCTCCAAGATTTTCGGAATCAGATCCTGATAATTGAGATCCTGGTCAGCTTTTGTTGCAGCCTTTCAGATTTCCAATAAAAATTGAAATAAGAGAATTAAATGGTATAATACAATACAGTACATATTTGCATGAGTATTTTTTCAAGATGGTGATGGAATTCTTCTGCAGTGGTATTGAAGTAATATTAGAGGTAAGAATTATAGGGAAATCCATCATAGTCTATGTTTTCCAATAATCAAGGTAGAGCTATTGCAGATTCTCTTTCCTTGTGAGGTTCATGGAGCATGGATTAAGCAACAGGCCTGCTAAGTAGCAATCTCTATTTTGTGCAATAAACTCCCCTACCAGGCAGCCCCAGCCCAGGGGCGGGTTCCAAATCCCATTGCTACCAGTTCACTTGTGCGCATGCATGTGCTCATGCACACACGGCACTTCTGTGCATGCGCAGAAGCATCTGGGCAGGTGTGCGGAGCCTCCCGCCGCTGCTACCAGTTCGCCCAACCCGGTGAGAACTGATAGCAACCCACCACTGCCCTAGTCCCAGGGTTGGTCACATTTTATAAAGAGATTCAATCAATCTTCTTTCAGCATAGCCCTTAATTTTGTCAGTTTCATGTTATGATTGCTTGTTGATCTTTTTATCATATTATTTTACTTTTTAAAATTTTGTTTGCTTTGACCTCATTAAATCCTGCTCAGGCTCCACTAAAACAGGATAGGCTATAAGTTTAGTGAAATAAATAAATGCATTTATTACACTAAAATTATGGAAGACAGTTTGGTTTAGTGGCTAGGGCACCAGATTAGAAACCAGAAGATTGTGAATTCTAGTATTTCCTTAGCCATGAAAATAAGCTGGATGAGTTTGGGACAAATCACTTTCTTTGAGACTCAGGTCAGTCATGAATGGCTATCACAATCAAATGTATCAAGACTTAGTTGATCAAAAAAAAATCAGATCCTCCACTTTCAGGAATACACTAGGAAAGAAATAACATTATATTAAAAGACCTGTCAGACTTTCCAGCTGAGAGTCTGGATTAGAAACATTTAATCCAATGAAGACGTTTTAGTTAGTCTGATTAGTAACATTTATTCGAAGTAAGGTCACAACACAAGAATTCTAGTGAGTACTCCATTGTCAGATGAGACACTTATATCATGGAAATTTATGGTGGTAAATCTCTTGCCTGTTTTTCACATTCTTATTTTATTTATTTATTATAATTTGTCAAACAAAAACAAAAACAGGAATCTTTATACCTCTGCTTTCTCATAAAAAAATTAAGTTTGAAGAATACCTTTATACTGGGCAATAAACTTGTGCTATATGTTATGTTACATTTTTAAAAGGTAAAATTAGCAAATTCTATTATCTACTTTTAAAATTGCACCTAAAATGAGTTGAAAAGAGATCAACATATTCCTCCCATCCTTGGCAAAATATCAGCAAAATTACTACAAGGAAACATTTTGTTTAGTATAGGTCAAATCTCTCTTTGTTTATCCTATTCAATACTGATTTGTTTCAAGTAAAAAATTTCCAACTCAGCTGTTAAGAGACCTCATTTCTGAAATTATTTGTAGGTTCAAAATATGTTTTATTTTTACTATCATCTACTGGATTTCCATTTATTATATGTATGGAGCTATAGTGAACCTTATAATTCTCATTTATGGACCACAATTGGGACTGATAACTCAGTCATTAAGTGAAGCAGATGCCAAGTGGCAACTGCACTTATGATATTTCTTCAGCTTTCCTTTGTTTCACAGATTTGTGAGGCTCATAAATGTGAGGGTGGATCATAAAGTTACCTTTTCATCACTCTCACAACTGCAAATGGTTGCTAAATTAGGCAGTTGCTAAACAAGAATTATCTATAAAGCTGTAAGGCAGACATGTCAAACCTAAAGCCCACGGGCCAGATCTGTCCCACAATAGGGTCACCCTGGAGACAGCAAGGGGCTGGCCTGTGCCTCCTTGGCTCTGGCCCAACCCATCTTGGTGCTCCCCCGGGCATGTGCACGGAAGGTGGTGAGCATGCGGGGGCTGGCATCCCCAGTGAATGGGAGGTGCTTGCGGGCTGTGGCTTTGTAGTGGCCACCTGGGTCCAAACATGGTCAGCCTGTAGGATTCCAGTGCTGGGTGGCCGCCATGAAGTTGTTGTAGATCAGTGCATATTAGAGACCCAGCAGCAGTGCTATGCCTGCCACCAGTGCCTCCACCACTTCTATACCCATTTGCCAGTCTGGCCTACCCACTGGCCCCTTGCCCCCTCCTCCTGTCCTGTCCTGGTGGTCCCCTATCTTATTGTTAAGGATACTTTGCTTACAAATCTGGGTCTCCTTGCATGGAGAGAGAGTGGCCCTCCCTCTGACCCATGCACTTTGCCCTCCTGCACCTACCATGAGCAACCTGGCCAAGGAGAACAAGCACAGCAGCCTTGAGGAGGAGGTATGCCCACCCATCCGTGCCCATCTAGTTGCGGTGACCCAGCTGTGACGACCCAGGCATGCCTACTCAGCCACACCAACCTGGCTGCTGTGAGTTGTCATAGTCTTACATGGATTTACAACTGGTCCTTTGAGGGCAATCATAATGCTGATTGGGGCCCTCAATGAAATTGAGTTTGACATCTCCGCCTTAAGGCAAAAAAACCAGTAAGAAAGGATCATCCTTGTTCAAGAGACAGAGTCATGAATTTAGGTCTCCCTGAATCAAATCACTGATTTACACAAGACATGTCAGATTTTACATAGTTGGCAGGCAGAGCATAGATATAAAAGTCAATGGATTTTGTGAGACATATTCATTTCTTTTTGACATCCCTGTATTTTCCTACAGTGTTATTTTATGAAAATAGCAATCTGTTTGAGATGTATCTCAATGCACTCAGACAGTAAAACCACTCATTTAGAAGCATCCTGGCATCCTTGTATTCAGAAACTAGTTCTTAGTCATGGGGTAGATAATACTTTCTGTTTCTCCTTTCTCCAATAGTGACACTAACTATTTTCTGACAACAGCTAGTCCATGTTTAATGATCATTTGTTTGGTGAGTATTTGAAATTAGGATGGCACAGGAGATTCCTTGTATGGCCATTGCAGCATCCTTCCAGTTATGTGATCATGTTCTTGGCAACTGGCTTGCAATCACTATGGTTTCAACATCCTGGGTCATGTGATTGCCATTTGCAGCCTTCACTTGTAGCTTCCAACAAGTAAAGTCAGTGGGAAAGCTGGTAGAAGGTTGGAAAGAAAGAAGGAAGGAGAGAGAGAAGGGAGGGAGGAAGGGAGGAAGGAAGGAAAGAACAAAGGAAAGAAAGAAAGAAGAAAGAAAGGAAGGAAGGAAGGAAGGAAGAAAAAGAAAAAAAGAAAGAAAGAAAGAAAAAAAAGGAGAGAGAGAGACAAACTGACTAATATTACAGAGAAAAAACCCTAAGCTAAACTATTTGGAGAGTTTAAGATTGTTCAGTATGGATTAAAACAGATATCAGGATTTCTTATCATCACCAATAACTACTTCATGAATGGTCACTGTCAACTGCTCAATAACTTTTTTCCATTAAACTTTACAATAAAAAATAAAGTATTAGGAAACAACAAAAGTATTTGAAAAAGAAAAGACAAAAATGGGGAAAATTAGAAATGCTGAAAAAGAGGAAAAAGAAAGTAGAAAAGAGTAACTTTCTACTTTCTTCAACAGAGATACAAATATAAAATACATTAACCTCTTATTTTAAAATTAACAATAATATACAATATTTCTATACTAATAAACAGTTCTAATCTTCAATTCCTGAAATTAAAATTTCATTTCTTTCAGTTACAAGAGGAAGTATACTTGTTTTTGATGGAAACAGGGCAGGATAATGACCAATAATAAACTTCCCCAATGTTTCTGATTTTATGGAACAACAGCCGGGGTGGGGTGGGGGAACAAGGGGATGGTTCTGCATGAGCGGCTACCAAGCGTGTGCACACTGCTCATGCAAGTGAAATGTGCATACAGTCCGGTTGCAGTCCCCTCATGGCCCACTAGTGTGTCTCAGCCCACAGATTGGGACCTCTGACTTAGATCAGTGGTTTCCCCTTTCTCCTGGGTAGTTTTCAAACAGATCAGAATTCTTGCGCAAAGCAGATAGTTGGATTAGATGCTCAATAACAGGGGTGTCAAACTGGATTTCTTTGAGGACTAGATCAGCCTTGTAGTTCTCTGGGGGGGGAAGTGGAGGGAGATGCGATGGACTCCTCCTGCAGCACTTTACCGGCAAAAACAGGGGGGCCTCCATGTGGCCCATTTTTGGCCGGCAGAGTGCTGCAGAAGGTTGTGGAAGTTGAAAACGGGCCAAGGGCCCCACACACATGGCCCATTTTGGTTGGCAGAGGCACCGCGGGCCGGTCCTGTGATATTTTCTTAAATCCACAGATTTAAGCACCCCGTAGGCTGGATCCAGCCTTGAGTTTGACATCCCTGCTCCATAAGATACCTTGGAACTCATACATTCTATGCCATGACAATGGTCATGCAACAGACTAATACATCATCCAGACATTTGTATACATCGTTAGATTAGTCATTAGGAATTCTAACTTTGCAGAGGACTTTACATTTTTCAGTCAATGAATTTTTTTGTTATTGATTTTAAAAATAAAAAAGGAAATAAAAGTTGTGGAGTGAGTATGGTAAAGGCAAACTTTCAATTCTTGCAAACAGCTTGAAGGGAAAAAAATCAGGTGTAGTGAAGCCAAAGGAAGCTATTCTTTCAGAGTCAATGGGCTGGTCTCTTTCCCCCCATTCCCACTCTCCCTCTGCTTCAGGCTGTTATAATGACTGCAATTATACCACACTTGAGGGAGATGATCTATTTTAGTCAAGTAGGACACAAACATCCCCATTTTGCAGATGCAACAGTGATGTTGAAATAAAATTCCATGCAGGGAGCTCACATTATTTTATTTGACTGGATGTATCTTCAGAAGACCCTATTTGTCAGCTTCATTATAGTTGTTACTTGAAATGCTTTTATAATAGTATCCTGTTTTCCCTTTTATATTAGTTAAATTAGTTATGCATGGCAGAAATGGATTGTGCCTTCACTGATTAAAAACATT